TTTATAAAGTTTAATATATTAACTATAACATTTTTCTGTAGTTCAGCTTTTTGAAAAGTTTGGTTCGAGTGATCGTCGGAAAGAGTTGAATATATTTATTTTAATAAAACAAATTGCAATATATATAATAATAATAAACAAATAAATTATATATAAAATTAAATTATTTTTTTAATATTAAGATAAGATCTTGACTATATTTTTATAATATTTTTAATTATATATTTTAGTACAAATGCTAAAATAAACTAAAATTATATATAACAAATTAAAAATTATATGCAAAAATAAGAACTCAGACTAGTTTATCTATAATCTAAACTAATTATAATGATTAAAATTTACTTAGATTTTAAGTGTTAAAATATAATTCAAAAAAATATTATATTTAATTCAGAGAGTTAACTAGATGTTAAATTTTCTAATTGCTTGACTAATTGGTGAACATATATTAGATTGTAAATAAAGATGGTTAGCAATGCCACATAGACATAAGTATGTAGTCTTGATAATATTATTTTTTGTACGTATTGCAAGCTTTTGAATTTTATTATATATTTTAACAAAATTGTTTTTTGAATTTTAAAATGACCCCTGGGTGTTATCTTGGGAAACATAATTTAAGAGTGTTAAAAAAAGTAAAAATTATTCACATTCGGTTAAATTAATTAACGGGTACCCGAATTGGAACCGCAGAGGATTTTTAAAATTTCGTCGTCAAGCAATTGGATTCACATTCTATCATTACCCAATCGGAATGTTAAACATCTCCTGCGGTCTCAATTCGGGTACCCGTTTGCGGAACACTACACTCTAAATTATCTCGAAATAATGCCCAGGACGTATATAAGATTTAAAATAACTACAGTGTATAAGCATTAAATCACTATTCATAAAGATAAGTTTGATTTTAAATTTATTAATATACGTAACAATTACGTAATATACTTTGACTCGCCATAAAAATTCGAGCGTTCGAATGTTAGTCATGTCAGTCATATCACCAAAAAAAAGTCGGTCCCGTAATCTTTAAGTTAGAACACACAAAACTTACAGCATATCATTTATATATTTAGTATATTAGCGTCTTTTTATTATTTGTACCAGTTACGAAGCGTTCCGATTCGTACGTATGTAACCGAAATCCAATTAACTTTCCACATGATAAAATGAATCCCGGGAAGTTTCGTAACTAGGTTCAAAAATTGCACAAAATATTGGTACATGTATCAAATCTCCTTAATTAATTATTATTAACGTTAAAGGAGAAAAATTTTATTCGCACATAATAATTTAGCAAGTTATTGCACTAATGCTTGTAATTAATTATACTGCGAATTGCAAATTATATTATACTGTAAGTAGTTAAGTAAGTAGCCAAGTAAATAGCCAAGTAGTTAAAAACCGATTATAGACAAATTATAAACAAAGAAAACAAAAAGCAGAATTAACAAAGTGTTCAAACAGTTTGCTAAACAGAATGGTTGCAGTGAATCTCTAACGTGATTCATGTTATTTTGATTTAAATACGTACTTTGTCATCCCATTTTAGTTATAATATTGAATACATATTATTGGCATGAGAATTTTGACATTCTTCAATTAACATAGTAGGTTTGTTTGTGTATGGGGTTTTATTTCAACAAGTTTTGATTGATAATTGACATATTGTGAGTTTGTATAGATTGCGTAATGTTAACCATAATATTAACCATAATATTACTATTTCTGACTCAAACATGGCAAGCTAAATTTTAACGTTAATGAAACAGTAAATAAAAATACGTATCGGTATGTATGAAATTTTTTTTCATTTAAAAATGAAAAATGCAAGATTCTCTCCGTATATTTCCGAGCAGTTTGTAATTAAATACATAGATTATCGAAAACTTTGCAAAATATAAGATTAATCGTTAAATTCATGTGTTACATATGGTAGCAAGATGCGATCTAGTCAAATCCCCAGAAGGTTTCGTGCGCAATTATGCAGGGTTCGATTTGGAAACACTAAATTTGAACAATTATTTATATAAAAAAAAATGTGGAAAAAATCCTACAAAGATGAAGTCAAGTTTATATGTATAGATATATGTAAGTCTTTGGTAACAGTAAATAAAAACGAAAATCAGCCAATTATATCATATTCGGCTTTGTATGAGATATTGGCGTCAACTCAAATGCTTTTTTTAGCAAACATGTGATGTCAGTGATGATTAGCCGGAATCAGCAGATGTTCAGGTGTCGACCAGAGGTGTATTTCTCATATTATTTCGTGTGGTATCTGTATATATAGTATATCTACGTAGTATCTATGTAGTATCTATGCAAACGATAGTTTTTTACAACATAACCACTTGCACGAATTTCGGCAACAAAAACACACTGACTAAATGCAGTATCTAAATTTCTTGTTTTGCGTCCCTCGAGGTGTAAGTATGCTATATTTATTTAATGTTACATTGCAGAAGCTGCATATATGGATCAAAAAAAAAAAGTTTATCAGCCCATTAAATTCGTCTAATAATATCAGCATTATATATCGATACAAGTAAACTTGAGTCATCTAAATAAATTAAGCTAATCCGAAGCCAAGGAAATGACCTGAAACGTTATTTTCTTCTCTGACTTCTTGTTTCATAATATCATAATAACGTAACAGGGTAAATTTATGTTACACCAAAAAACTTGTCAATTCCTTCAAATAACGGTCGAAATTTCCCGACTTGTACAAAAAAAAAAAAAAATTAATTATCATCAACCATATTTTTTAACTCAATTTTATCCAAAGCCCGCAACTATGCCAGACGAACTCGTTAACGGAAAACAAAAAAATATTTCGAGTATCGAAAGTATAGCTAGATCACCTTATCTTAACAAAGGTATATTAAAATTCGCGCTTATATAGTATCTTAATTTGTGTTAAACAATTTGCAATGTGTGAGATTTTTTTTAAAGAGACGATGCAAATAAATTCTTTGATAAAAAATATAAAATTGCGTTTTTTTTAATGCAAATTTTTATTCATTCATCTTATTTCCGAAAAAGGAACTGCAACGCCGAGCTCCACGCGTAATGCCCTGCATCTTACCGGCATCCTCCCGCCCGCAGTAGAAACTCTTGAGCAACAAAAGAAACGTGCATTGGTCCAATTTCGTGCCAAATCATCATGCTTAGAAAAATACATGTTTCTTGCCTGGCTAAGAAACACTAATGTTAGATTATTTTATCGTATCGTTATCGATGAATTGGAGGTAAAAATCCCTTATTTTATTATATTGCTTTATTTGTTCTCGGTTAACTATCCCCACTTAACTATTTCTTATTTCTTAAATTTAGGAAATGGCTCCAATCATATATACTCCAACTGTCGGTACCGCTTGTTTAGAATACTCCCATATTTATCCTTTCCTCGCTCCACCAGGTGTACCGGATGGATTATACCTTTCCATCAACGATCTCCCAAATTTGACTCAAATTATCAAAAGTTATCGTCCGTATCCATCTAGTGATTCATTAACCCCACAAATCGCCGTTATCACAGATGGTTCTCGAATTCTGGGTCTGGGTGATTTGGGTGTTAATGGTATGGGTATTCCTATTGGTAAACTTCAGCTTTACGTTGCTGGTGCTGGAATAGACCCACGACGCACTTTACCCATTACTATTGACCTTGGCACTAACAATGAAAAGAACTTAAATGATGAATTTTATCTCGGTATTCGTAAAAAGAGAGTATCCGATGATGAAGTATGTTTATAAATTTATTATATTATACTTATCTTACATTTAATTAAAAAAAATCTTAAATTTATTTAAAAATTTTATTTTATTTTAGTTTTATCCATTCGTCGATGCTGTACTTAAAGCTTTGACCTCTGTATATCCTAACCTTTTGATTCAATTTGAAGATTTTTCTTCCGAACATGTAAAAATCTTTATTTTTCTTTATTAAAAAATTCCTAGTTAATAAATTAAATTATTTGTTATTTTTTTCCTATATTTAGGCTTTTGATCTGTTGGCCAAGTATCGTGACAACTTGTTTTGTTTCAATGATGACATTCAAGGTACTGGTGCTGTCATTCTATCAGGTTTCATAAATGCTGTACGACTTGTAGAAAAGGATATTCATCCAACGAAGCATAGAATATTATTTTTCGGTGCTGGTTCTGCCGGTGTTGGTGTCGCAAAACAATTGCTCGAATTCTTTAAGATTGAACATGGTATGTCTGAAGATGATGCAAAGAAATTGGTTTGGTTGGTTGATACAAAGGTACTTTGTAATTTTATACTATAATTTCTTTTCTTATATATAATATTAACAATTTTTATTTTATTATTATATCCAGGGTCTTGTTACTTGCGATCGTGGCGACAAGTTGGCCAAACATAAGGTTTATTTCGCCCGTTCCGATAATGAGGGTCGTCAATTTAAATCTCTTATGGATGTAATTGAATATGTCAAACCTACCGCTTTAATAGGCTTATGTTCTACCGGTGGTGTATTTGATGAAAATATATTAAAACGTATGGGTGAACTTAATAAAAATCCTATTATCTTTCCATTGTCCAATCCAATGGTAAACGCTGAGTGTACATTTGAAGATGTAAGTAATCGAATTAATTAACTTCAAAATATGGTTATAATATTTATTCTTATCCTTGATTATTTTTTTCTTATAAAGGCTATGAGAAATACTGGTAATCGTGTCATATTTGCTTCGGGTACTGGTTTTCCTCCATTCGTTGAACAAGAAACTGGAAAAATACGGTATCCAGGACAAGGAAATAATATGTACATCTTGTATGTATAACTCTTTATGTCTTTATTATTTTCATATTTCTTGTAATCAATTTTAACTTTTAATCTTTTTCTTTATTAGCCCAGGTCTAGGTTTAGGTGCAATTCTTGCCCGTCCAGATCGAATTACTGACCGTCAAATTTACGCTTCTGCTTCTGCACTCGCTGAGTCACTTACCACTGATGAAGTCGAACAAAACTTCCTTTACCCTGCAATACAACGAATTCGACGTGTATCAGCTCAAGTAGCTGCTGCTGTAATTGTAACATCTGTGGATGAAGGTCTTGCTCGTAATCCAGAAATTAATTCATTGGTTAAACAAAATTTACCTGAATGTTTATCTCGAAGTGGTGAAAAATGGCAAAAATTAGTTAAATATGTAGAAGAAAAAATGTGGGATCCTAATAATGAAAAGCTTTTTACTTGTGAAACTTTGGTTGAAAAAAGTAAATTTTAAAAATTTCTACAAAATGTTTTTTTAAAAAAAAATTAGGTTAGCCTATCGATTAGATTATTATTTTTTTTTAAAAAAAAAAAACAAATCATATATATTTATAGAAAAGCATGAATAATAATACATGCTCTAAAAATTTAAAAAATAAAATTATCTCAAAGTCATAATCAAATTTCGCCTTTTTAAATGGATTTGCACTATCTAACAAATTTTGACCGGGATTATCGTTATCTTCTAACTAAATGAGCCTAGTTATGGAAATTCTGATCAACGATAAATGCATTAAATCATGAGACAATTAAACAATAGTTCTCAATCACACGATTTTATTCATATAAAAATTAAAAATTAATGAATTACAAGTTACATTGCTTAATTAAATTATGACATAATTTATTCAACAATTTTATTATCATAATTGATATGTTAACATGTTAACAATAAGTGTATTTAGTAATGACCATACCAAGGGATAGTCGGTTACAATCACGTACCTTATTTACAAGTCGCTTAAATTTTGGTGTTTCGAGGGTGTTTTGTATTAGTCCCGTATTACAAAGCTTATGAATCGAAAATCGATTAATAATTGTCACGGAAATCAGATTAAAAGGCACCATTTGACCCTCTAAAAACCACATATACTTTACTGCAAAATTTCAACTACACAAGATATAACTGATTTATCCTTGCCATCTATGTAACATAATTTCCATGTACTTGTTTTAGAGCGAGACCTTTATTTTACGCATTGTTTTTGACATTTAAGATTAAATAGGATAATATTCAATTAACTAAATTAAATAGATATATGTCTAGTAGAAACAAGCACATGAAAAAAGTTACATAGATGGGGTTGGTTAGGAAATAATATAAATATACTCTAAATTCCAACCCTAGCTCTAAAAGATGCTTCCCAAAAATTTGTATTTTTTGGATGCTTGTCTATTTTATTATGTCATTTTAATTTCATGTTTTTTTAACTAAAATTTTTTAAGTTAATGCATATTAAAATTTATTAGTTATTGTGGTTTGTGTCAAAATTTTTTTTAAAGAAAAATTGTTTATGGTTAGTAGTGGTTTTTGATTTTTTTTTATATCTATTATTATTATTTTTTTTTTTAATGTTAATCCCTATCTTCGGGATGTGACATTTTTATTCAAGTAAGGACACGGCATGCCACCAGGGGTTACCTTACATTGGAGGTTACAACTAGTCACATGTGCATTTTTGGTGCCTAATTTAAGAGTAGGAGGCAGTATTTCAAAATTATATATAAACCTAATGGTAAATTTTTTATATATTTAATTTGATGAAAAATTATATTAAGTAACCTAATTTTAATTATTAAATAAAAATTGTAGAGTAGGTCTTTCTGATTCTAATAATAGTAAACTTATTAAAATAGGTTAAAAACTCATTGAGATATTAATTTTTAAAGATTAGAATAAAAAATTATAGAATAAAATTAACTAATAGATTTATGTAAATTAACCAATCAAATTCTTCCTTTTTGTATTACTCAAAGAAATTTTAACCCACCTAAGTAAACTTTGTTATATGTACAAGTATATTTTTTTAAAATAATACAATACATCAAAATTTTACTATAATATATAAATAATTTTATTTTTTTATTTTTTTTATTTTTTTTTAGTTTTTAAAAAAGAGGTTTATCCTTTATCTCTTTATTAATTAGTCAATTTACATATATGCAGAAGAAACTAAGCTAGAAGAGATAGGAGTAAGAGCTACTTTATTCTTGACCTATTCTTTGCTAGAATGATTAATAGACCTCTAGTTTATGATAAGATAACTGAGAAAAGATTGTCTACTAGTAATATAACAATAAATTTTTTCATTTAGTATAGAGAATAAAATTAGTTTAGTTTTAGCCAGTATTGAAAGTTGTAGAGGTGATAGAGTTGGTTATAAGAAATTATGTTGTATCATTCAGAAGAGAAGCCAAAGTTCTTTATATATTGCAGAGATAATATTGTGATGTATAAGAGAAGCATATTTGTATTTGTGTTTGTTATTTTTAAATGGTGCCAAGGTGTTGCTAGTTATTAAACCTAATAGTATTTGTTTGTTAATGTGGTTTAAAATAAAGACTCAAGTAAAATAGTTTATCTTATAATAAGGTATTTCTAAATTGTTTGCTGCTTTATATACTGTACATATTATTAGTATTGTAAAATGTAAATGGTTTCCAAGATAGTCTAAAAGATATACAATAGTTTCTAGAACACTATAGCATCTTAAACAAAGATAGTTTGGATGTTTAATAGCATTTCTTCAGTAAAGCAAGAGATGTATGAGTAATTCTTCTGATAACAGTTTGATTTTAAAATTCTTTAGTACTGAAGAGAAAGGATCTGTTATTAGAGCCAAGAGTTTTTCTCTATATGAGAAATATTGTATGAATAATGACTAGTTAATATTATTTTGTAAAGTATACCAGTAAGAGATACACTATTGGTAGAACCAAGCTTGTCTATTTGTAATTCAGTATATTTGTTTTATTGTAGTTTTTAGCAAATATGTGCAAGAGTTGCTAAGAAGTTTTGGAACAAATTGATTATGTAAAAATTTTTATAGTATAGAGTTTAATTGAAAAATATTTTTAGTTTCTTAGATCTGAAGTTCTTTGTTCAGGATTGCTAAGATTGTATGATTATATGTTATTGCTTTTAATACTAAGATAAGATAGGCATATTGTTGCTTGTCAAGTGCAGGATATTTGTGTGATTAAGTAAATTGCATGAGGTTAATTAAATTAACTAGTGAGAAATTGTTGATATATATTTTTATATTAGTATAAGAATCTATTGAGGTCAGCACAAATGTTAACAAGATTAATAAGATATTTAAATAAAAGGGCCAAAGGTTGGTAAAGCAACCAAAGTTGGTGTAAAAGTGTTGAAGTCAATATTTTGTTACTATATGAGAGTTATTTTCTACATTTTGTCAGCCACTTGTTATATATAGTGTTATATTTTTTTTGTTAAAGTTAGTTTTTGTTGGAGTGTTTCAAAGTAGTATCGAAGGATTGGCAAAGGAGCAAAGGGGTCTAGCTAAAGTTGAGTATGTTTTTTAATTGAAAAGCTGATGTGTTGCCACTGGCATTAAGGTTATTGCCTTTTTAAAATCATTTAGATCAATATGAATTTTCTTTTTGCAATCTACTTGAAGATTGTAAATTGGTTTTGTTGTCTTAAAGTAACAACATTTAGATGAATAAGTTCTGTCTTTAAGTTTACATCCTTAACATACTATTAGCATGTTATTAGAATATAAAATGTAGTGTTGAACTTTTAGGTTTTTGTTGAATAAGTTGTGTATTTTTCCAAAAATTGCATTTTTTGTAATTATTCAACTCTTTTTGCTAGACATCTAGTTGGTTAAAGTATAAGGATTTAACTGTAAAAATGTTAATGATGAATTTGTAAATGCAGTTATTAGGTCTTGCATTAGGTGAAACTAATGAGAACATTGATCTCTAAGTATTTTTTTGATATTGTGATGAAAATTATTTCATGTTAGAAGTTTTGTATTAGTTGCATTTAAAAATTGTTCAATACTAGTAATATTGTGATTATTTAGCTTTTTTTTGAGGTATGAAGCTCTAAAATGGTTTAAGAGAATTTGGTTTATAGGTGTGTCTGGAAATTTCTTTGGGTGTGACCAGTTATTAATATTTTGTAAGGTTTGCATTCCAAATGCATATAGAGCTATTATCATCTGACATGTTTGTATATTTATTTATATTAATAAAAATACTAAGAGCTGTGTTAGAATTAAAATGTTAGTAAATGCTGCATTTTGTAGTTGTAATCATAATTACAAAAATGAGAAATCAAAATTGGAGTGGTTTAGGTTTTTTTGTAATATTGAAACTAGTGCTGAAGTTTGTGCTTGAGCTAAGTCTGTCAGTGTATAAATATCTGAATTGAATAAAAAGGAGTTTGGAACTCCTTATGCTAGTTTTGTCTTATATTTTACCAGTTGAATACATGCTTTATTAAGAGAATTTATTTGTGAAGAAAAAAGAAATGAGAAGTATAGCCAGTAGATGAAGTGTGGAGAAATGACACTGTTTATGATATAAATAGCTTGTTTTTCTATTATATTGGCAAATTGCAGTTTTTTTAGATTAATCTTAACTTCTGCTATTATTTCTTTTTGTACTAATATTGGCTTTTTGTTGGTCGAGAACCATGCTCTCAAATATTTGAAAGGTGTTTCATAATCTATTGCAATTAGTTGTTTATTATCAAAAATTATAGAGTTGTCTAGATTTGAAGAATTTGTAACTAAAGTAGATTTAAATAAATTGACTTTTATATTAGCAAATTTGTAAAAAGAGAAGGCAGTATACAGAATGTTTGTAAGAGATGTTTTGTTTGGTGTGATCCATAGGGAGTCATCCATGTATGTCATTACAGAGGTATGTATTTTTTTATACTTGGAGAAGGAATTCTACTAATAAATCTCTGATGCTCTTTGTGTATTCTTGATATCAAAGGGTCATAATATATTTTCCATAGAAGAAGAAAAATTGTCTTTTTTTGGTCCACCCTATCTTCTACTGAATATGGTGCAGTTAAGCCTAAGATAATAATTATTTTGTTGGTTCAGTGTGAAAGCAAATATGATAACAGGTTTATAACTTTGTCTGAAATGTGAATTCTTTTGAGAACTTTGGATAAAATAGGTATATAAATTGAATCAAAAGCTTTTGACATGTCTTGAGAGAGAATTCAGATTTTCTTATTATTTGTAGTTGTATCTTTGAAAATTTGGGTAAGTTGTGAGATTGGTTGTAATATGGATTGATATAGAAAGACTGCAAAATTGTAGAATAATAATACTTGGTTACAAGTTAGAATATTTGTAAATCAGTTTGTTATAATTTTTGTGAAGATTTTTCTAATATGATCAATTAGTGTAATAGAACAGATAGAATTAAGTTCATAGTTGTAATGTTGTTTTTTTGGAATTA